TGTCTGGTTCCTGATTTTAATGGGAATGCTTCCAGTTTTTCTCCATTTAGAATGATGTTGGCTGTGCGTTTGTTGTATATGGCTTTAATTATATTGAGGTATGTTCCTTCCAGTCCAATTCCCTCTAGGACTTTGAACATAAATACATGTTGAATTTTGTCAAAGGTCTTCTCTGCATCTATTGAAATGAACATGTGGTTTTTGTCTTTGAGACCATTTATATGATTTATGACATTTATTGACTTAATTGTATTGTACCATGCCTGCATCTCTGGAATAAAGCTGACTTGATCATGATGGATGATCTTTTTGATGTGTGTCTGTATGCGGTTTGCAAGTATTTTGTTGAGAATTTTTGCATCTATGTTCATTAAGGATATAGTCTATAGTTTTCTTTCTTGGTTGTCTCTTTACCTGGCTTTGGTATTAGAGTGATGCTGGCTTCATAGAAGGAATTTGGAAGGTCTCCCTCCATTTCTATCTTTTTGAATAAATTAAGTAATATTGGGTGTAAATCTTCTTTAAATGTCTGGTAGAATTCGGCTGTAAATCCGTCTGGTCCTGAGCTTTTTCAGTTGGGAGGTTTTGTATTACTGTTTCAATTTTCTTATGTGTTATGGATCTGTTAAAGCTGTTGATCTCTTCTTGGTTTAGTTTTGGTGGTTCCTATGCTTTTAGATACCTGTCCATTTCTTTTTAGGTTTTCAAATTTAGTAGTGAATAGGTTTTTAAAGTATTCCTTTATAATATTCTGTATCTTTCTGGTGTCTGCTGTGATGTTTCCCCTTTCATCTCTGATTTTGTTGATTTGGAGGTGCTCTTTCTTTCTTTTGGTTAACTGGGCTAGGAGTCTGTCAATCCTGTTTATCTTTTCAAGGAACCAGCTCTTGGAGTCATTGATTCTTTGTAATGTTTTCTTTGTTTCTATTTCATTACTTTCTGCTCTGATTTCTGTTATTTCTTCTTGTCTGCTGGGTTTGGGTTTCATTTGCTATTGCTTTTCAAGTGTCTTGTGTTGCAATGTCATTTATTTGTGTTCTTTCTGATTTTTTACTGTAGTCACTTGGAGCTATAACTTCCCTCTAAGGACTATTTTCAGCATGTCCCAGAGGTTTTGTTGTGTTGTATTGTCCTTTTCACTTAGTTCCAGGAATACTTTTATTTCTTTCTTAATTTCTCTTTTGACCCATTCATCATTCAGGAGTGTGTTGTTTAATCTCCATGTGTTCATGTGGTGATTAGGGCTTCTTCGGGTGTTGATTTTGAGCCTTA